AATTGTTAATTAAAGGGTCGCCAAAAACTATCATCAAATATTAAGATTAACTTAGATTAAATATGAAGTATGCTCGATCTATATTTCTAAGAGTTAGTGGAATTCTTGAAGAAACAGAAAACTAGAAAGGTTGTCTTTCTCCGGGAAATGTCGTCTTCGAGAAGATAACAAATAAGTATTTTGCATTAAAACAAACCTAAGGTTGGTTGGAATTCGTTCTAATAAATTTTTTATGAAATAATTTTACATACTTTTCCTTACATTAATCATCCATATTACACCAACTCCCAAGATAAAGGTTGTCTTTAATCATAAACGTCTTCTTTGCCTTAAAAAATTAAGAAAAATAAAACTAAGCAGTTTTTCCATTTTTTAATGAGTAAATTCAGAACTTTTTATTCCGTGATTTTTTTTTAAAAGGAAGACCGGGAAAAAACATGTGTCACCGGTTTTGATGTTCATTATCGAGTCTCGTTTTTTTAAAACTTCAAAGGTTTTTTAAATTTTTAAAAGGTTCCAAAATAATTTAAAAAGTTTCATAACTGTTTTATTTTTTTTAAACATGTGACTTCCTTTAACTAGGCATTTGGATTTTTATAGATATAAATGTATGCACAAACGAGAGATATGCAAAAACGAGATATATGCACAAACGAAAGATGTGCAAAAACGAGATATATGCACAAACGAAATTTATGCAAAAACGAGATATATGCACAAACGAAAGATATGCAAAAACGAGATATATACAAAAACAAGAGATATGCACAAACGAGAGATATGCACAAACGAGAGATATGCAAAAACGAGAGATATAACCATATTGTATAACCATATTGTGGAACCATTTTGTAGAACATTTTGTAGAACCATATTGTAGAACATATTGTAGAACCATATTGTAGAACCATATTGTAGAACCATATTGTAGAGCATATTGTAGGACCATATTGTAGAACATATACATATTGTAGAACCATATTGTAGAACCATATTGTAGAACATATTGTAGAACCATATTGTAGAACGTATTGTAGAACATATTGTAGAACATATTGTAGAACATATTGTAGTTCCATATTGTAGAACCATATTGTAGAACCATATTGTAGAGCATATTGTAGGACCATATTGTAGAACATATTGTAGGACCACCATATTGTAGGACCATATTGTAGAATCATATTGTAGAACATATTGTAGAACATATTGTAGAACCATATTGTAGAACCATATTGTAAAACATATTGTAGAACATATTGTAGAACCATATTGTAGAACATATTGTAGAGCATATTGTAGAACCATATTGTAGAACCATATTGTAGAGCATATTGTAGAACCATATTGTAGAACATATTGTAGAACCATATTGTAAAACATATTGTAGAACCATATTGTAAAACATATTGTAGGACTCGAAGGGACCCAATTTAATGATTTGGACAGTTCGCTGAACTAATTACTGCCAGTTCAGCTCAGGTCGCTGAACTAACTTCTGCCAGTTCAGCTCAGGTAGCTGAGCTGACTTCTGCCAGTTCAGCTCAGGTCGCTGAACTAACTACTGCCAGTTCAGCTCAAGTCGCTGAACTAACTACTGCCAGTTCAGCTCAGGTCGCTGAACTAACTACTACCAGTTCAGCTCAGGTCGCTGAACTAACTACTGCCAGTTCAGCTCAAGTCGCTGAACTAACTGCTGCCAGTTCAGCTCAGGTCGCTGAACTAACTACTGCCAGTTCAGCTCAGGTCGATGAACTAACTACTGCCAGTTCAGCTCAGGTCGCTGAACTAACTACTACCAGTTCAGCTCAGGTCGCTGAACTAACTACTGCCAGTTCAGCTAAGGTCGCTGAACTAACTACTGCCAGTTCAGCTTAGGTCGCTGAACTAACTACTGCCAGTTCAACGACCTAACTCAAATTCATTAAATTCAGCCCGAGAACTACTTTCTGCTAGACTTGACAGCTACAAAGTGCTTGATACTATTTTTCCAACCTAAATCACCGATTATTAAACAAAATCTTTTTGATTTTTGAGCCATGTTTGCTTGTTAAAAATATTTAGCATCTTAACCTATATAATTCAAGAATTAAATTCTAATTACAAAATAGAGAATAGGGTAAATATGTGTCAATAAAAATGTTATCCCTTTAAAAACTAATTTGCGAACCTCAAACTGAACCCCTTTAGAAAGTACATATTAAAAAATATTTTGCTTTCTCCAGACATTAGACACATACGCACTTGGACGCCCTGGACGCATGTCTAACGGAACCTAACCTTGATCAGAGACGAATAGAAAGCACGAGGTTCTCCGAGGGCGAGGAAAACAAGCCGCATTATTTCTGCTTCTGAGCCGCGTTCATTGGAATCTTAACATCTTTACTATTTCACTTACTTCATTTGTAGATGTGGGTTTTCATTTTTAACCCTTTTTTATAGTCTTTTCTCACTTTTCGTTTACCAATAAACTTGTCCTGATTGGCATAGTATTGTATTTTAAATATTTTATTCAGTCTAACTTCTCTTTTATGATTTATTTTCCAATTATAAAAAAATATACAATTTAAAGTTTATAGTTAGTTTCATCAATCTTAGTAAGGGTCTGTATAATATAACATATATTCAATTCTCTGCACAGACAGTAGAATAAACATAAAAATAGTGCCAAACCATTTTTGCTTTATTACTGGGTTGTCCTGTAACCTTTTAATTTTCGCGAATACTCCATGTAATTCAAGCAATCAAAATAGTCCAAATTTTGATCAAAGGAATGAAGTCTTTGCCGCAAACTCAAATTTTGAGATTACTTTATATTTCAAATTAGATGGTGTAAACCTAGAATAATCTAATAGAATTCAGAGCTTGAAGAAAAAAAGTCAACGGCATAAAGTGGATTAGAAATAAGAGTCTGTGGCAAGAACGCACATGGAATTACTACTGCATGCAACCAGATAACAAGGTTGTGAGATCATTTTTTCTTTAGAAAAAGAATATTATAAATTAAAAAGTCTTGTCACGTGTGGGCTGTGGCGCGTTTTTGTTCTTGGGGCTCGTTCTTGTTCTTGTTGCGGCTCATCCTGATGTACTTTTCAGGATAGAATGAGCGTTATTTTCCTTCTTCACCCGCAACTAAGCTTTTTGTGTGCACTGCTGTACTGCAGTGATTTTCAGTACTCTGACTGAAGAAATAGCGGGTTTTAGTGGAGAGTGTATTTGAACTAAGATTTACAGTGCAAAGTGCGTAGAGCTAAATAAGATTTAATCGCCTTTTCTGACGCAAATTCTGAAGAAAAAAACTAAAAAGGTAAGTATTCCGCTAAGGTAAAGCTAGACAATCAGAAAAGCCATAAAAGTCTGGAATCAACAGATTATAGAACCTGGCTGAGTGAGAATTAGTTAGTGAATGAGAGAAATAGCTGTGTAAGACTGAAAATAAAATCTTTAGCAGTTAATCTCAAGCAGTGTGACAGACAACAGGCCGAGATAAGGCCTAGATGTTAGGCCTATACATAAACTTGGCTTAGCTTAGATAGTTCAAGGCCTTTACTTATAATATTTGAGCATTTTCAATGTGTTAAAAAAAAATATTTATTTTATTTCTTTTTCCTTAAACTTGAATTGCTGTAATAAAGCTCTTACGTTAGCTGATTTACCGTATACAGTAATTTTACCAGGCTAAGCCAAGTTAACAACAAGTGAGTTCCCCTATTAAAGAGAGTGTTCGCGAAAAATTAAAGGGGGTATTGACATACTACGAAAAATTATCGATGGGGATTGCTACTAATCTTACTTCTATCTGTTGCGTCTATAAGGAGAAAATTGTTAAGAACGACTGATACCGAAGAACGTAGCGTCCATACAAATTCAGAAAGCTGCAACATTCAACTCTGATCGTTCAATTCCAAACAAATCATTCAGATATTACAATCTATAATCATTGATAATTGTTCGACACATTCGTATGTAGTTGACATTTCATAATACTTCTTATTTTTTATGATCCGAGAGTTACTTTTGAAAACATTTAATCCTGTTTCGAGGATTTTTGATAATGAAGAATGAAAGAATGAAAGAATGAAAATGTCTTTCATATTTTCCAGGATTGTCCAAAAATCCAGCGCCAGCCGTGAAAACAAGTTGTAAGCTAAATATCATTTTTTTAAAACTAAATCAAAAATATTCTGAAATATCAACTATTTAGAAATGCGTCGAAAAATCATCGATGATTATAGGTTGTTACATCTGAATGATTTGTTTGGAACTAAATAGATTTTTTTACGATCAGAGTCGAATTTTGCAACTTCGGTGTGAGCCGTTTTTAACAATTTTCTCCTACACCCCTTTTCATTTTTCATGATCACTCACTTTAATGCATACAAAAATACCTTTTTAATAAAAAAAAATAGAACATACACTGAAAACAGTTTTAAAATTGTAGTAAAGACCAGAATGAGCAAAGTTAATGTGTTAGATAATACTTTTTTGAGTAACTATGAGTAACCTGGACAACGATGGATTTCCAAGCTAGTATGAAATAAAACTTTATCTAAGACAAAAAAAACTAGGACTGCATAAAAAAAAAGATCAAGAAACCTGATTTACGAGTAACTGTTCTCAGCTTTTTCTGTGAAAATATATGAAATTGTATAATTCTCTGCAATTACAAGGATATGTAAACTTTAATATTTTAAAAAGTTTTTAAACAAATCCTAATCCTGATCCTGATCATGATCTCAATCCAAATTATGATCCTGATCATGATCCTGATCCTAATCTTTATCCTGATCCTGATCCTGATCCCAAACCAAATTATGATCCTGATCCTGATCCTGATCCTGATCCTGATCCTGATCCTGATCCTGATCCTGATCTTGATCCTGATCCTAATCTTTATCCTGATCCTAATCCTGATCCTGATCCCAATCCAAATTATGATCCTGATCTTGATACTAATCCTAATCTTGATCCTGACATTTGCCGGATTAGAGTTGGATTAAAAACAGCTGTGCAGTGTTTACAGAAAGAAAAGATTTCAGATTCTAATTAAAATGAGAAATGAAAATAATTGAAGAGGATTTTCTTGAAGGTTGCAAGGTAATTATAGAATTCAAGGTCAAAGAAAACAGCTCTATATCATAGTATCCATGATGACAGCTTCAAATATTTAAAAGGACTGTATGCGTAATTTCATGTAACTCTCCATTCAAAGACGACAATGCCAGATTTACAACGGTACCCTTCAAACCTGTGTCTGATCAAGTATGAATTAGATATCAATGTTTTTGTTTCTTTAAACTGTTAATTTACATTTTCGGGTTTTCTGCGAATGTGATATCTCAAAGGTGTACACCATCAGGTTGCAAGGGCAGATTAGATAATTAGAGTTTGAATTCCCTTGGCAGCAAAAGTGTTCGGGAAAAAAATCGGTTTATATTTGAAATATTTTCATTGGGTGAACAAAAATCTAAAGTATTCAAAAAAAAAGATTTGTTTTCCTTTTAATCAAGGGACACACATATACAGGAGTTGAATCTTTGCAACAAACTCTGATTTTCTACTTCTTATATTTTTGCAACCCAATATTTTTGCAACCTCGATATTTTAAACTATGATGGTATCTGTTAGATTAAATAATTTAAGTTTAAAATATAAGAGGTTTACACAATCAGATGGAAATAAAGGGATTATCAAAATTATTCTTCTCTGCTCCTCCAAAGAATGCCTTAAACAATTTTTTTGTCGTATAACATTAATTTGATGAAAGAATAAGATGCAAAAAAAGATGTTTGCATAATTGTAATTGTAATTGGTGTGAGGTGATGTGTTCTGTTTGCTTTCTTTTTAAAATGTTTTTTTGAATTCTTTAAATACACCTGTACTGTATAGTCTGACCTCAGGGGCGGATACAGGGGGGGAGGCAGGACTTTTGCAACCCCCTGAAATTTCAGAATAGCTTCTCAATAGCACTTAAAGGAAAGAAAACCAAGTGCAAAACAGAAAAAATATCTAAAAGTTTTCGCCTGCGTCGTGTCTTTTGGTTCCTCAATCCTAAATAAATTCCGAAAAAAATGTAACACCCTCCTCACGTAAATCCTGTATCCGCCCCTGCCTGACCTTCACGTTTAACACCGGGGGGGAAATAATTCCGGGAAATGTTACAGCAGCATTTTTACTTCCGCAAACTTTAAAGTGTATTTTTCCACCAATGCCCGATTCACAAGAGTACCTTAAATATTTTTTGTTTTGTTACAGGTTGGTACAGTAGTTTGTAATGAGGAAATAGATATTAATTGTTGTAATGGTTGGGGACTCAGGTATTTTACTTTATATACAATATACATCTTTGCTTTTGTTTTTATTTACATTTTTATTTTTAAGTTTGTCAGAGTTTATTCTTACATTCTGACATCTCATTTGAAAAGGGACTGTTTTCCTATTTCTATTTTCGTCAGTACTTTTATCCAACTCATTTGTTTACTTAAATACTTTATTTTCAATTCTGTTTTTATAATCATATTTTATAATTTTTATTATATAAGTTTAAATGAAATTTTTATTGTTTTATTTCGTTATTAAATCACTCTTTTAAATTTTATATCTGAGTTTTGTTTTCTCATTTTTATTTTTTTATATTTGATAATTTAATATTCTAAATCTTATTTTAAAATAAATCTTTTACAATATTTTTAAATCTCAAGATCTCATGTTTAAACTTTTCTGAAAGTTTTGATATTATAAATTAGTTTTAAAAGTGTAGATACCGATTTTGTAATCAATCTTATTTAATCAGTTTAATGTAAAAAAAGTTTATTGTTCTATAACTTTGGATTTTTTTTAAATGAACTTTTTTATATATTTTAAAATGGTTTTTCCATAGATCAATAATAATGATAATAAATAAAGCGAATATATTCAATCTGTAAAGACCCGTATTTCTGCATGGAGGAAACCTTACAAATAATATAAAAAAAAATCATAATTCTTAATTCTGATCTAATAACCTTTAAATATAATTTGTATGATGTCTTTCCCCACTTCCATTTTTCAGAACTAAAATTAGAGTTATAAATTATTGTGAATTAAAATTATTCTAATATGAAATTATTAAAATTTTATAATTTATAATATATTTCAGATATTTGAATACAATATGTTATGAAATAAAATACTATGAAGGATAAATAAACTAAAATAAATTGAATAATTAGACTTTAAAGAATAAAAATATTGCCAATTTAAGAAAATGCAAAAACATTCAATTTATCAGAAACATTCTGCTTGGATTCTCTCTTTTCATCATTTTTTCAATATTTTATTTCTATATTTACAAAGAAACTTATAATTTTATAATTGAAGGCATTCAATTGCAGGTATACCGCAGATCAACATTTTTAGAAGATCTCTAATGTTTCTCTTATTTTCTTCGTCTGTTCTTGGACCCCTAGATCAACTTTTTGTATGCTATTGCAAACAGATTTTGAAGTTTATGTTTAAAATCATTATAGACGAGCAGTACGACACGGCCAACCTGAGGTTTGGGGATACCTGTTGACACAGCCTAACCTGGATGTAAATAAAATTAACCGGTTTGGTCTTTCCGCTCTACATACAGCAGCCAGGTAAACAAAACAAACCGGTTTGGTCTTTACGCTCTACATACAGTAGCTAGGTTAACAAAACAAACCGGTTTGGTCTTTACGCTATACACAGAGCAGCCAGGTAAACATAACAAACAAAGCTAACCGGTTTTTTTACTTCTAATTCTCCTTACACGAAGAAGCAAGTTTTAAAAATGGATTAACCTAAAAGGTTTTAATTTCAGTTAGAATACCTCGTTTGAATTATTTGTGGCCCTTTTTCCTTAAAATTAAGAACTTTTAAATAATTGTTGAAGATCTTAAAATCTAAATTTTACTTTTTTTTAGGTTTAATGTCGAAGATGCTGTTTTGGATTTACTTAATCATCCAAATATAGAATTAAACAACCTTACTGTAAAGGTATTTATTATTATTATTATTATCAAAATTATCTTGAATATTGGTGCAATATCAATACGAATACATGAATGAGTGGACTAACGTTCGTTTGAACTAGTGTTTATAAGGACTAATAGTCCAAATGAACTAAAATTTGTTTTTAAAAATTTGAAATTTAACTTATATCCTTAAGTTATATTCTTAAGTTCTTTTACACAAAACAATAAATTTTATTATTGAATACATGAGTGTTAGGTTAGATTACGACAATCGAGCTATGGGGCTATAGAAAGCTGAGGGAGCGAGTGTTGCGGGTAGGACTGACTAGGGGCGGGGCTATGCCACCACAGATCTCTCAGATGATGCCTCTGAGATCTATATTTCTGTTACTTAATGTCATTTGAACATAAAAAATAATTATTTTTTCGAAGGGGCTAAGAACAAATTTGTAAACAGCTGACTTTTCCGCAATTTGGGTTTAGTGCAATCGGTTATAAGTTTAATTGAAAGCATCTAAATAAAATTATATATCCAGGTATCCAGGTATCCAGGTATCCAGGTATCCAGATATCCAGGTATCCAGGTATCCAGGTATCCAGGTATCCAGGCATCCAGGTATCCAGGTATCCAGGTATCCAGGTATCCAGGTATCCAGATATCCAGGTATCCAGGTATCCAGGTATCCAAGTATCCAGGTATATAAGTATCCAAATATCCTGGTGCCAGAAATGCAGGGACCAGATGAAAGTGAAAAGTAGTTGAACTACGTGGATGATCCACTTCTTTCATTCACCAGTTCATGCTTAGGAGAAATGATTCATCACTTTTCTTTAAATCTAGTATCCAGGTATTCAAATATCCAGTAATCCAGATATCCTGGAATCCAGATATCCGAATAGATAGTTGCCTACCCACCATTCTGGTATCCAGGTATCCAGCTATCCAGGTTTCCAGATATCCTGGTATCGAGGTATCCAACTATCCAGGTATCCAGATATCCTGGTATCGAGGTATCCAGGTATCTAGGTATCCAGATTACCTTGATCGAGTTATCCAGCTATCCAGGTATACAGATATCCTGGTATCCAGGTATCCAGGTATCCAGGTATCCAGGTTTCCAGATATCCTGGTATCGAGGTATCCAACTATCCAGGTATCCAGATATCCTGGTATCGAGGTATCCAGGTATCTAGGTATCCAGATTACCTTGATCGAGGTATCCAGCTATCCAGGTATACAGATATCCTGGTATCCAGGTATCCAGGTATCCAGGTATCCAGGTTTCCAGATATCCTGGTATCGAGGTATCCAACTATCCAGGTATCCAGATATCCTGGTATCGAGGTATCCAGGTATCTAGGTATCCAGGTATCCAGGTATCCAGGTATCCAGGTATCCAGGTATCGAGGTATCCAACTATCCAGGTATCCAGATATCCTGGTATCGAGGTATCCAGGTATCTAGGTATCAAGATTACCTTGATCGAGTTATCCAGCTATACAGGTATCCAGATATCCTGGTATCCTGGTATCGAGGTATCCAGCTATCCAGGGGTATCCAGATATCCTGGTATCCAGGTATCCAGATATCCTGGTATCCAGGTATCTAGGTATCCAGGTATCCAGATATCCTGGTATCCAGGTATCCAGGTATCCTGGTATCCAGGTATCCAGGTATCCTGGTGTACAAGTACTTCTGTTATCAAGTATTTTCTAGAAAACACTGTGTTATATATTATCCTCTTATCTTGTATTTACTTTTCTTGGGAAGAATTGTGCTACTTAAACTAATGTTTATAATATTTAATAGATCAAACATGTTTACATAACTTTATATTTATATAGATCCTTGATTAGGTAAACAAATACTTAATGCATATTCTTGAATGCATTCGAATATAAACAGAAGGAGATAAAGTGTTCAACATTAAGGTCACATTTTCAGCAATACTTTTGTGGGCCCTTAAATACATAGTTTTATATTCATGACTTTGGTTAAACTACAGTGAAACTCTTAATAACGAATACATCTGAAGAATTTATCTTGACAATTTTTCAATGAGTTTCATACTATATTTCGTAAATTTCAGTATTTGCAAAAAATAAATAAATAGTTATAAATATGCGGGAACAGTTTTAAAGAGTTCCGTATAATCATTTAATTAAAAAACTAAATATCTGCAACATTCCATTATCAGAAAGTGAAGAATACGACATTTGATGAATTCTTTCGATGTATTCGTTATTAAGGGTTTCACTGTAGAATCTATTGGAAATAAGGTTGCGCACTTTCAATATCGCTTAATCCATAAATTTTCCTTTTCATCAATAACTTTACAGGTTGGCCCCCGCCGGCCATTGGAACCCTCCCCTTCAAGTTTTTTTTAACTTAAGCTCTCTCGTTTCTTGGCCTTGGCTCTTTAACCTTGATTTTTTTTGTCTTTAATGAGTAGTAATTAGAAGGATTTGAGTAAAGTTAATGCGTACGGCAGGGTTCAGGGCTGTCTAACTTTAAAATAGCTGTTCAAATTTAAACCGGCAGTAGGTAGTTTAAATGGAAATTAAAATAGGCGATCGATCTATTTAAATTATGAACAAATATCCATGTTTTAGGGAAGAACTGTGGAGCAGCTAGTTGGTGTAGCTGCTCCCTCCTGTAAACAACATTTTAGAGATGATATCCTTCAAGCACTCAAGGTATCCAAAGAAACTTCTCTCTCTCGCAATGCACATATGTCGAAATTAAAAGTCGATGTTGCCGACATATTAAGTCGGAAGCTGTCGATGATGTCGAGTCGTGCATATTCTTTGTCGGCCAAAATGTTTCTTGGGCCATTCATGCATGACCAATTATCTTATCTTAAATTCTTTTAAATAAGTTCAAATAATCTTTTAGAAAATAATTTTTGTTGTTTCTTTAGTTTTATATTAATGCCTTTAATTGTCAACAACATTAATAAGTTTAAATTGTTTTGTTTTTTTAAATCAAAACAAATAATTAAAACATGTAGAAGTTAAGTTTTATTGAAAATCAAATAAAAAATCTACTTTTTTGCATTTAAAACAAGTTCCGTTTTGATATTATTGAGCTTGAGTTGCATTTAGGCTTTGATGGAAACCATTTTTTTAAATATTTTTTTTCTGTGTATATTTTTTTTTATTTATATGCAAAGAGAGCCAAAAAAAAGCAGGGACCTTCGATGTTTTGGACAAATTTTCAAAACTAATATTTTGTTCGGATTAAAGGCATAAATAAAATAAAATGAGATGAAAAAAAATTCATTTATTTTTGGAACATTGAAAAAAATCCGCGAACCCGATTTCTTTATAAATTAAAATTTTTTTTAATTGTTGGGAAAATGTATATTTTATTGTTTTACAAAATTTTAAGAAAATTCATAAAAAATTGAATGAGATAAAACAAAAACTTCGAAAAAAACTTTGAGTGGAAATCTGCAGTAAAATGTTATCTTAATTATAACCCTCGAAGGCTAGAACTGTTATGACTTCAAAATTGCAAATAATAGGCTTACATTTTTTTATATCTCATTCAATTTTGATAAATTTTAATAAAATTTTGAAAACAATGGAATAAATATTTTTCCAAAACTTTTCCAGAAAATTTTTTTCAAAAAAAAATATTAAATTTTGTTTCTATGTTTTTCTATATTTTTGGATTTTTTTATCACATTTTATTTTATATATACCTAAATCCTAACAAATAAAAATTTTGAAAATTTAGTTTTTTTTACTCACCCTGTATTGTCAATTAGTCAGAGGAAAAAGATATATGTTAAGCTTTACAAATTACATTGCATTAATTAGAACCGTGGCCAAGGAGTATGGTATATAAGGGAGATGAAATACGTTTTTATATTTTTGAAAAACGGTCGTTATGAAAACGACGACAAAAAACGAAAACGAAACGAGCGTTTTTCAAAATGATCGTTTTTATAAAGCTTGTTGTTTCGCTAACGATCGTTAACGAAGGGTGGTCGACGACCCTTCATTAACATTTTTTGATGAAAATTCTATGATTTTTAAAAAATTGCATTATATAACATATTTGTGGATACTATAAATAATTGCCTATGTATATATATATATATATAACATATTTGTGGATATTTTAAATAATTGCCTATATACATAACATATTTGTGGATACTATAAATAATTGCCTATATATATAAATATATAACATATTTGTGGATACTTATTAAGCAGACAGCTTAGTCGTTGGGATTGAAGCACTGAATGGAAAAAACATCAGAAAAAAATTAAATATAAATAATTAGATCTATTTTAAAACATTGAATATACTACTAAGGAGAAGAACTATTTAAAGATCATATTACAAGATTTAATGTATTAAATAACATCACCTTAGCTTATTATATCATGGCGGAGTCACAACACACAATTAAGATAAAATTATAGACAATTATATGCTTAAACGTAATTAATTTCAGTTGCGTTCATTTCTACATCTCATTCAAAATGGCGTCCTTTTCAAATCATTAAACAGTCTCTTAAAAATTAATGAAAGCGGATATTTAAGTTTATCTATCTGTCTAAACTGCATTTTTCGGGGGGTTTCCATTGTTTGCACAATACAAGTTTATTCGACGCAATTCTTGTTGAAACATAACTTTAAAGGCTGGTCAACTTAAACACGCAAAAAAATAAATAGATCTAAAAATTGAACTAAATGTTTTAATATGGTTTATCTAAAATCTCACATCAAATCGTTATTTTCTCTGTTGAAAAGGAATTTTTTTTCGGAAACCACGGGTGTTTTGTAAGTTTCGTGGATTTTAAAATTTTTTCCCGTATTTATCATCAAGATAAAATAAAAACTTAAAAAAGGAACTTAAATTACCTTAGTTCAAGGTTTACACCTTGTGACGAAATCATATTGGACTGTTAAATGAACGGGAAATGTTTAAGAAAGGAATTGAGACTTCGCCAACAATTTTTATTTTCTCTCTCTACATCTTTGCAACCCAATATCATAGACCTTTAATACATAAAAATTTGAATTCCTTTGAATCAAAGCGTCTAAATTTGAAAATTGAAATAAATAAAGGTGTACACCATTAGGTCGCAAAGATATTGTGATTGGAAAATTTGAGTTTATGGCAAAGACTAAATTCTTTTACAAAATGTATCTGGCAACCCCTAATGAATAGTTAAAGGCAAAATCCCTTAATATTGTAATGGTTCTGAATTTTGAATTTCTTTTCGCTTGAATTGATTTTATTTAGGCCGAGCAACTTAACAGACTTAATACTAGGAAAAAGAAACTTACCCTTAACTCAGGTAAGAAAAATTGTTTCAAAAAATCACGAAAAAAAATATCTTCATATTTTTTTAGTTGTTCATCCTTCGAAATTTTTGGAGAAACAAGCGAAAGAAAAGATAAACAGGGAAAAAATTTATTCTTTTTCATATTTGTCAAAAATGCAGGAAAACAAGATTTGAAGATTTCATCTTTTTTCAAGTTGTCAACAACACCAGACTTTTAAATTCAAATAAAACACATGCTGAAATGTTTTTCAAGGAATTGAGTCTTTGCCGCAAACTCAAATTTTCGGATTCCTAAATCTTTGCAACCGGACGGTGTAAACCTTAAAGTTTAGATAATTTCAGATTTAAATATCTTTTTTTAACTTAGAATGTTTTGTCTTAAAAAATAAAGTTAAAAATACAGAAAATACAGTTTTTAAATATACAATACTATGGCTACAAAAGTGTTGCGACACTTTAAAGTCAATCCAGTCTTAATAAATTAATGCAACTTTACACAGCAGCGTGTATTTATATTATCAATTTTCTGATTTATTAATATTTTTTTCGAATTGAATCAATTTTTCAAGACTTTTGGAGGACATGCATGAGCTGCAAAGAGTTGAGATGGTTAAATTTCAGGAGGTGATGGAGGCCAACAGTAAAAATTTTGAGGTTGTTTTTACAAATTATTTTCAAAATTCAAAAATTAAAGACATATTTTTGAAAGGATTGGCGTAATTTTTATAGACTTGCTTTAGATATTCACTTTTGACAGTTGAAAATTGGTTAGCTTCGATTTCGGTTTCTCTGTTTAAATGACGATTGCGTATTTGGGCTGCAGAAATAATAAAGATAAAATTTACAGAATTTGGCACTTTTCAGACTTTTCAGACTTAAAACTTACAATTTTTTCCCAAAATGTTACGATCAGATAGGATAGGATAGGATTTATAGGGTGCCGTTGTGAATAAACCCCGCACTTTGTAAAAGATACCCTTATTTTTTTCTAATGTTTACTGTCACATTATGTGGATGATTTTAAAGAAATGGTTTTTATTAGGATAGACAGGATAGACACCTACAAGAGTTCCTAAACAAAATTGAAGAAGAAAAGGCTTCGTACATGTCAAAACAGGTTCAGGAGAACTTTTTTTATTTATTTTATAAAAAGTTGAATAATATTTAAATCAAAAGAGGTGGTGTTTCTCCGGATATGGGTATTTGTTCCAATAGTTTATACTTTCCTAGACTGTATTTGTACTTTATCGACAGGCTTTGTACAAAAATCACTTTTTTAAATTAACACACTTTTATTGAAAAATAAGATTTTAACTTTAAAATTATTGGATGTAAACTGTAAAACTTTATGGATTAACCAATCAAAAATCAAAATATATCAAATTTGAAATATTCATTCATTCAATTGATCCTAAATTGTTTTTTTTTGTAAAAATCAATTAATCATTAATACACACTCACATCTTAGAAATCCAAGGATAGTACATTGACAGGATTTCAATGTACGAGGGACGGGGGTGCAAAGGCGCCATGAGCCCCGCAAAAATGACCTCCAAGCCCCGCGAAACCGTCTCTGTGCCTCTCCATACGTCCACGAACCTCCGCCATTTTGTCTCCATGCCCCGCATTTTGATCTCCGCTTGCTGTTTTTTTTTTAGTTTACCTTTTATGGCTGAACCAACCAAACATCAAATATATATCACCACATATCTCAGCATTAGTTTAAAGAATCGATTAATCGACAAATTTGAAATATTAATTGATTCAATTGATCCTAAATTGTTTTTTTTTTGTAAAAAGTTTACATAAAGTTGGTATGCGTAAACAACATCATGATTTGAATATTATATTAACTCTACAGAGTCCTTGGCATTAAATCTTATCATAAAAATGCAAATTAATGAGGGAACGACACTGCCCTGTTCTGGTAGTATAACATGTTAAAGATGTTTTAGACTATTTTAAATTTTTTTCCCAAAAACAAAGTTCTTAAAAGTCTTACAATAAAAGCACAAATTCAATGATTTAACAAAATCTACTGTGTTTTGTGAATTGCCGCTGACTGATGTTGTTTGATTCATACATTCTGTGAAATAATATAAATCTTTATACAAAACTGCAATAACTCTCACAATTTAATGAATTTGTAAAATTTAGAAAAGCAAAAATAAAACCTTCAATCTCAATTAAAATGGACAAATTGTTAATGTATCATTTTAAACTACTTTATCATGTTGAGATTTTTCGAAAAAAAATGTTTTTAATGGATGTAAAAGTCAAATATTTTTTTGGAGACCAAAATTTGGGGCGTGGAGACAGAATGGGGGAGGCTCAGATACATAGCGAGAGGCACGGAGACGGTTTCGCGGAGCCTGGAGGAAGTTCAGAACTTGTTTCTTCAATATTATACGTATTTCTTATTTCAAAAAGAAATTTTTTATCGTGACAAGTTTGATACCAGCTTCAGTTTGTACGCACTATTTTAATGTGGTTGAGAATCAGAGGCCGGATTTAAAGAATTTGAGCCGCAGCTTAAATTTGAGACGCGGCTCAAATATAGTTGGTTCCACTTAAAATTGTATTAAATGTTTCAAGATTTAAGCCGGCGCTCAATTGAAACTGGTTTTTGGCGGATTTAAGACGCGGCTCAAATTCATTAAATTCGGACACAGGTCAAACAAAATCTTCAACTAGAGTGTTGTTTTATAAGGTGCACAGACTTTTGTTTTACATATAATTTTCAGTTTTTTCAATGACGTTTAAGGGGGCCGCAAGGAGCTTTAAGTTTTTTTAATTTGGGAGTTTTTTGGTAAAATTAACCCCACATGTGCCACCCTTTAACTTCAATGGAGTTATATTTGTTAACTTTCTGCAGTCTAATAATGACTAAAAGAAAAGGTTCAGAAGGCACTCAATGTCAAATTTTTATTTACTACTGGGTGTCCTACGAAACATGACAGTTGGTGAATAGTTTAAAATGTCTTCTTTCATAATTTCATAAGTTGTTTAAGAGACTGATAACATTTATTATATGATAGTTATATTATAGCAAAATTCTTCGTTCTAAACTAAACTATATAAAACTGAACTTAACTGTGTAGAAGTACTGAACTTTATAGTGGAGTTCTCAACTCTAATGTACGAAGCTTTTCTATGCAGTACTGTACAATTCACTTTATATTTACAGGAAAGGGATATGCACTATTTCCTGGCAGGATTAGAACTCAAGAAGGTGGCTTTCCTTGACATGCTGAAGGAGTCCAGGACAGAGTTCTATCACGAGGAGCATGTGCGCCTCATCAAGTTTAAGGTGGTCACAGTTTAAAGAAAACAAAATCAAATAAATAAATAAATAAATAAATAATTTCAATTGACCCTCCATGCAAAGATGGCAATACCCTATTCACCAAACATGAATTAGATCTATTTTTACGATCTTTTAAATTGATTATTTACAATTGTAGTTTCTCTTTACAAAAGTGACTTGCGAATTTATGGTGCATGGAAAGCATAAGACCGGGAATGATCAGAATTAAACACTTTTAAACTTAGAAAAACTACTACATCCTCCACATTATTGATCAGCTAAAGTTCGGGTACCGTTGTGAATCGGGTATTGCCATCTTTGCATGGAGGGTCACTTTAAATTACACTTACAGTCCGTGTAGTGTCGAATTGGAGAACCTTTAGTTTAAAAGAATAAATATATCTTGGAAGGTTCAATGTAGGGCTGGGCAAAGTTCCGTTAACAGACCAAAGGTTTTTGAAAATTAACGGAAGAGTCCGTTAATGAACGGCAAAAACCGTAAATTTTTTAACCGTTAACGAAACGGATTAGACGCTTTTGAAAAAAATGTATAGTTAAAAACGAAAACAGAAGGGATTTTTTTTAAAGGTGAATTTCTATGTTTTTTCTGCTTAAAATTGCTGGGGGTGTTCTGATGTTTTGAAACACATCTTCTGTGTTCACATTCTTAAATTCTGAGAAACGATTGTGGTAAACTTTGAATTTTGATAAAAATAAATGGAGTTTGTCCAGCCGTGAAAAAATCTGGGTTCTCCTCAAAATTGACTCAATATAGTTGATTTGGATATCTAGATTACACTCAGTCAGCAGAAAAGGATAAATATAATTCATCTTATAGTGCCGTAAACTCCGTTCATACCAAAAAATACATTTAACAGATGCACCATTAACGATTTCATAACCGTTAACGAATTTTTATTCTGCGCCTTGCGCCGTTTATACTGAAATAGACCGTTAACGGCGCATTTTGTTAACGCATTTTTTGCCACTTCGCACCGTTAATAGTGTAATAGATTGTTAACGACTGAAGGGGAAAATTGTCCGTTAACATTGTTAATAAAATTGATATTGGTAACTAACGGTTACTAAAAAAAAACAGTAAATGCCGTTAATGAAACCAGCGTTCCGTTCTTACCTTTAAAATTAACGGCTACCTGAAATTTCTCGTTTTTAACGGTTGGAACTAACAGTTATCGAAACGGCAAGAAAAAGTTGGAGCGTGCCCAGCCCTATTTCTATGATGAAAAGTTTCAAATACTTTTCTTTAACTATTCAAATTCAGATTCTTGTCCTTAACAATAATCTGAAGAATATTCTTATTTTTTAGAAAGATCAAGATCATCAGAAGTCTAGGTTACAAATATCAGATGACATCAGGTCACCAATCTTAATTACTTAACTTTAATTTTTGAACAGGTATAACCACAAAGGATAATACTTTAAGGGCTATATAATTTGACAAAGGATAAGTTACATTTACAGCCTACAGAAACCGTAAATTAATAAAAAGTTTAAATAAAAAATCGTCTCTTAAGTCTCATTCTTTGTGGATAACCCTGTATATTGAAAATGGTAAAACTCAAGGTGGTATAGAATACAAGGTGGGGGCAATAAGAAGTCCGTGCATTTTATTGTGACATGTCCGTACATTTTACTGTGACGTATTTGGACTGCTCAGGAACTAGTTTCCGCGTATCAACAATTACAAAAATTGTAAACAAAAACAAAAACTTGTTCCTCAGCAGTGCAAATACGTCACAGAAAAATATATGCAAATCCTATCGCCCCCACTCAATACCACCTTGATAAAACTTATGTATTTGAAATTCTATCCCCTGGAGCTAAAAAAAATTTGCTCATTTGCCCAAAACCTTATGGTAAATCACTTTTTAGACCTGTTCTCTTGAATCAAAGCATTCCAACTTCACCAAACTCTACAGTTCAGACAAAGTAATTTTTTTAAATTAAATCTATTTCTTTAAACCCCTATTTTAATTTGAGTTTTTGTACAGAGTTGATCCGTTCAAAAATATCTCAGCAATCAAGATAAGTAATCCATTGCATCAATCTACGCCAAATCTAACCGCAACTCGAAGAAAATCTCAAGAAAATATGGCAATGTTTTCAAGAATCTTCTCAGGGTCCCATGAAAACCTGAGACCCTCCCGTCAACCAACCCCTGAAACTCCAGACCCTCTGTTCTTTAGCAGGGCTAAAAAGTCCCAGTCTGTAGAGAAAAGTACAACTATGACCCCTGCAGTACCTGAGATAAGACAAGTGTACACCTCGAGACAGTTTCTCCAGGTGGAGTCGGAGGATAGAAAACGTCCCGCATCTCTCTCACCTACCCCAACTTCCCCTAAAGGTAGGATATTTTCACATTTTCAATTCTGTTAATTATAGTTGACAGATTACATAGTTTTTTATGGATAAGTAATATTTTTTTCTTATTTTAGGTGCTATCTTTCAGCGATCCTATTCATCTGCGCATCCCAGCAGAGTAGGTTCACCGTTCAATGGAATATCAAAGACCCCAATAGGTCAACCCGTTCTGCACAAATCTTTAGATGAAAGTTACTCTGTGATGAACCATCTTGATGATGTGATAAGAAGCTTGCAACAAACCCCGTGGCCGGAAACTAGTTTGGATAACTATTCTTTAACCTATCCACAGTGTATGGGAGATATGCAGACTGGGGATTCAGTCAATCTCCAATCTTTGCTCTTACAGCAGCAGCAAGAGGAGCAGCAGCAAAAACAGCAAGAGCTGCAAAAACAAGAGAGTCAACTTCAGCTTCTGCAACAGCAGCATGAATTACAGATTCATCAGCAGAAGTATCATGAACAGCAACATCAGATGCAGTCTAAACAACTGGAACAGATCCGACAACAGCAGATTCAGCATGATCAACAGCAGATTTATCACCTTCAGCAAATGCATCATTTACAAGAACATCATCAGAACTATCAACAACAGCATCACACAGCTCAACATCATCATCAACATCGTTCTCAGGAACAACACAACAACAACAACAATAACAGATATCAACAGCAAGTGTATAATCCAGAAACAGGGCAAATATACTTTCTACAATTACAGGTAGATCTTTTGAGAAATTATTTAATCCTTTTTTATTCACAAGGTGTACCAAAAAAAGGTTAATAACGGGTCTTTGATCAATTTTATGTATTTAAACATGTTAAAATGGCAGAATAAAAGTTGTTCTAAATTTGATGAAGATATTTCCGTGTCTTCAAAATATCTTCTATGAACAACTTTTTTTGTTGTACATTTAATTTTCCTAATAGTAGTTTTTTAAATATTTTTACTTACAAAAGTTAATTTAGAGCCATGGAGCTGAAGAATACCGACATACATTCACAACAACGCCCTCTCCTATACCTTCTCTTGAACTTATCAACAGCACTGAGCCTTCATTTATTAATGGAGACAGGACTAGAAGAGATGACAGAGCTATTGGATTTGTGAAACCTATTCTAGCAAAACCTTCAGATAACATTTTTAATTTAGAGGTAATTATTCCAATAGCCTGAGCTGGGAACTTTAGAATGGTGGATATGGAGATTAATGCTTAATCCTCTCTTTTTGCTAATCTCGAGACTAACATAATCTCGAGATTAAAGATCAACAAATTTGATTCTAGGAATGCCAGATTTGTTCGTTTTTTTGACTAGAAGGGCCTTCACTTAATTTCTCACCCATTTATTTATCAATACATTAGTTAAAATATGTTAAAAAAGAATCTCAAACGTATTATCAAATATTTTTCTTCACCGAGTAATTTACAAAATGGCCGACAACATAATCTTTATTTGTTAGAAATTGCGGATTTCTCTCATGGGATAGAATTTATTTTCAAGGCTGTCATTGGTCAATACAATTTACGAACTATATTCCTGCACTCTCATTGGAGAAAACAATGTACGGATATCCAAAGAGAGAGAAAAAGAGTGGATTAAGCACTGAAATTAAAAGTTTCCACAGTGGATATTCGGATTAAGTAGTTGGAATTAAAGGTTATCCATTTTAAAGTTCCCAGCTCTGTTCTTTAACATATATTGGAAAAGTTTTATTTGAGCATTTGAGAAAACCCCCTTGAGAGATTTTCATGGGAAAATTTAATTTAAAATGGCTTAATTACTTATTGAATTCTTTTGAACTTCCATAAATGGTTCCCAAAAGTTCTCCATACAAAACTAATTCCATAAATGGTTTCCAAACGTTCTTTATGAATAGTAAGATGACCAATTTTATAAATGATTTCCAAATGGTCTCTACTAATGGTTCCCAAATGGTCGCCATAAATGACTAAATCCATAATTGGTTTCCAAATGGTCTCCATATATGTCTAATTCCATGAATGGTTTTGAAATGATCACCATGAATGACTAATTCCAAAAATAGTTTTCAAATGGTCTCCATGAATGACTAATTCCATAAATGGTTACGAAATGGCCAGGATAAATGACTTATACTGAATGGTTTAATAAATGTTTTAAACGCAGTAAATGAATGTTCTCATAAATATTATAAGAGTAGTACATAAACATTTCCATATATATTTCCATAAGTTGTGCAATATAAAGGGTTACCCACAAAGGATGAGACTGAAAAGACGACCAAAAACTTATAAAATAGGACAATTCCTGGTCTAATTAACTCTTCTGTCTTTAATATAGTCTTTCATTGTCTTATTTAATGATTTGGCAAAGAGATAAACAAATTCACAGTTGCAGAGAACCACGAATATGTGGAAACAGGCCATGTGAATTCCGCACAATCGTAACTGAAGTCTCATCTATTGTGGGTAATCCTGTATGGTTTCAACAATTCTTGAAATCATTTATTAAAAATAAATGTAGTTTTGAAATATTTTAGCAGGGCCAAGGACGGAATATGACCCCTCGTCTTGTCAGAAAGCACAGTAATGCAATGGAAGTTGTGAGGTAACTAGTTGTATTTCAATGTAAAATTAAGAAGGCCGTTTAATAACACTGTAAAAATTTCTAAGAAAAAGAGTAAATTTAGATTTCCAGATTCCCTGATTAAACTTTAATAGAAGATGACATCCTTTATTGTACAATTGATTTGGTGAACCAGAATAAAGTGGACAAGGAAGAATATTCTAAATTGTGATAACTTCTGTTTATAAGTTTAATAAAATTTTTCATTGTTTCCAAATAAACTTTTTCCATAGAAATGTATTTACATGATATTAATAATCGTTAGAATAATAATAGCAACATGCAAAAGTAATGATTTTGATAATGATAAAATTGATAAAATTAATAATGAAATTGTATATGATAAATTAAACAATAATAATTAGGATAATGACTATGATTAACCGGTAGAATTGGTTAAAACTGGTTAGAACTGGTTAGTACTGGTTAGAACTGGTTAGAACTGGTAAGAACTGGTAAGAACTGTACGTATAGAACTGCATAGACCTGGACAGAAACTGATTAGAACTGGTTAGAACTGTACAGAAACTGGATAGAACTGGTTAAAATTGGCTAGATATAGGTCAGAACTGGTTAGAACTGGTTAGAACCGTACAGAAATTAATTAGAATTGTACAGAAACTGGTTAGAACTGGTTATAAATGTGCAAAAACTTGTTGGTACAGGAATTAGAAATGGATAGAACTGTACAAAAACTGGTTATCATTGAAAATAAACAAAATTAGCAAACAGTGATTCTAAAAGCTTTAAATTATAAATGGGAAAAATTCCAATCTTTGATCTAGTTTCTTTAGTATAGTGCCTTTATGTCAAAATAAAATGTGTACACTTCAGTATTCACCTCATCGTTGATCTGTTCTCCTCATATCCATATTTTGTTTCTAAGAGAAGAGGAAGAGGAGCGGGTTATGTCAGCAGAAGATTCGGAAATTATGTCCATCACTAACAGTGCGATAGAAAGCTTAAATAAATCTGATTCTTTCCGCAGTCTGGTCGGAGACGATTTTAGGTAGTTCTTAATTTTACCACTTGGTGGATATGCTTTTTATTTAAAACCTCTTAAGCAACAATCCATACAATATTTAGGCGCGCAAATAGGAGGGGCCATAGGGGTCATGCCCCCCTAGCCTGTAAGGGGGGGGGGCGCATGACCCCAGACTTAAATTTTCCCCTTTTATTCAACATGTGTAACACTTGTTTTTTTAGAATGCCACCAAATATTTTTTATTATTTATTTGCACCTAAATTAGATTTGTTATCCCCAAATGCTTTATAAATACAACCAACTTTAAAATTTACAGCCCTATCTAAAAAATGCCCCTTATTTTATTTATATAATGCTCAAAAAATTAAGAAATTTTGCCCGAACAAAAAATAACCCTTATTAAAAAAAATGCCTATATATATTTTAAAAATGCCTTAAATAAAAAAGATTAAGATAAAAAAAATAAAGATTTAAGAAATGGGAAATGCACAAAATTGACAAAACTGAAACCCCCCCCCCCCCAAAAAAAAAATGAAATTTGGCCCAAAAACAAAGATTTAAGATTTCCCACAACTAAAAAAAATAATTCCCCTAGCTGAATGTATGGTTGCGCGCCTGGCAATTTTTCTTTTCTATATTTCAAAATGTCAGGAAAACTTTATGCATTCATGCAAAATTATCATTCGAGGACGATAAAACGTTGTTTAATAATTGACCGTTAAGTCGTTCAATAGATCAAAACATCGATTACATTTTTAGAGATGAATATCAGCAAACTCATCCTGGTGAGAAATTTATGGAGCTTCCGGACGAATACGCAACAGTACGCGCAGCAATGGATAATATAACTGCTCCAGGCGTACAACAAATCTTTGTACCCAATGATCAGAGTGTACTCAACAAACCCCAATGCAAGTTTATTTTGTTATAAATAGTATTGTTAGATTTTGAATACTAATCTATATAATAAAGCAGAACATTCATATATATGTTGCCTATAGCCGGTCAAACGTTTTAACCGAATTTAACTGGAAATTTTCGTGGACACTCATGGGTGGGCGAGGGGTGTCGGGTGTTACAGGCTAAAAAATCGATTTATTTTTTTCAAAATTTTCTTTTAAATATTTTTTTCAAATGTTTTTTTCCACTAGTAATCTTTATTTATCTATGGTTTTATTTTTATTAAAATAAAAAAAATTTAATTTAATAATAATTATAATATTCAATAATTAAAATTGTATTATTAATATTTAGGCAATGAATCGATGAAAGGGGCTGGCCTCGTAAAGTCCATCTGTAGCATAACATAAATTAAATTGTAGAAATAATAATAAAAAAAAAATATTGTAAATCATAAATAAAAATCATAATTAATATTAGTGCTTAAAAAAACTTGATATCATATTATATATAATCTATCTGAAAATTATCAGTAGAAGATATAGCTAATAAGATTAAGAATAAGAAGACATGAAATAAGATTAAGAACAAATGAATCCATCTAACTATTAAGTAAGTCAAGGGCATGGACAGTATTTGGGAAAAAAATCTATGATACAGTTAGAACCAGAAAACTCTGGAATAGGAAGAAGACATGAAATGAGTCTGTTTCCACTGCACAATTGCTGTGTCCCATGATTATTGGACTATTCAAAGTCATAATTTGAGTCTAGTCTTCCTATATCAGAGTTTTCTGGTTATCGCTGTATAAAAACACCTGAAAAAAAGCTGCCATGTTTGAAGGTCGGACTACTTGCAATGGGAGCTTAGCTCCGGATCCATATAAGGACTTAAGGGGTTGCATCAATAGAACTATCCAATCTGAGCTTAGCTCCGGGTCTTTATTAGAACTGACGGGGTTACATCAATGGACCTATCCTTATTCCGAGCTATTGAGCTCACACTGATTACAGTAATACTCATGAAAAGTAACATAAATACAGTTTTTTTTGAGAGGATAAATTAAAAATTACTGACATTTTTTTAGTCGATAACGAGAAAATAATTGAAATTCTATTATAAATGATGCGCGAAGATGCCAAAGAATAATGTTGGTATTTTTTTCTTAATTGACAACTTTTTTTAAAATAGGGTCCACAATCATGATCATGCATGGAGTCAAGTGAGGGGGGGAGAGGGAGACGAATCATGCTGATTAGAAGACATAATACTTTTTATAATAGTTCTTTGTTCGTCCCCTAGCTATCAAGAATTAAACCCGATTTTTCAGTCTTTTCTTTATGTTACAGTGTACACCTTGTATTCACTTAATTGAATTGTTATTAAGAAAATAGAACTTGAAAGACGACATTCAAACGTGTAATTTATCGAAGAGAAATTTACGTCATTCTACGGGGTTATTATTAACGTGAAGACATCTTTCAACGAGGATAGTTTTCTACAAAATATTTAAATATCTCAATTAAACTTAATGTATTCTGAAATTTTTTAAAAATCATGTACAGTAATAACCAGAAAACTCGAAATACGAAGACGACTTTCAGACTCAAGTTATGACTTTAAATAGTTCAATAAGCATGGGACACAGCAATTGGTAAGTATAAACAGACCCATTTTACTTAATCAGTGATTTAATAAGTGTCTAGTAAAACTATTTGCTTTGTAACAACACCAAATACACTCTAGTATTGCTGAAAGTCGTCTTTTTATTTTAAAGATTTCTGGTTATCACTGTAAATTAAATTTTTTTTAAACACTTCATTTATTTCCTCTTGACAGCTATAAAGGTTTGGCCACAAAGGATGAGACTGTAAAGACGACTTGAAATTCTCTAAATATCACGATCCCAATTCTTCTACCCTAAATGTGCTCTTTCATTGTTTTGGCAAAGATTGAAAGAAATTGCCAGGAATCAAAAATATAAGGAAACAGACATTTAAAATTCCGTAAAATCGTCTGTGAAGTCTCACCATGTATCTTCCTACACACGATTGTAAATGTAAACACTATTTTATTTTAAGAGCTTGTCCAACGATAATGTTGGAATTCCTTAGTGTGTTTATAGATAATCCAATTTACTCCAAAATATCTCATCACTAACAGTAAATTGAATAATATCATTTCGAAGGGTACATTGAGTACGTATTACATAACTTCAAGTACATCTGAGAACCTAGCACAGTACAAATTGGGTACATCTTAACAGTTAGATCAATACATTTAAGTGTTTAAAAAATCAAGCATAGTCAAGAAATTTCTTATAAATTAAGCCATTTTAAAAGCCATTTAAAAATGATTTCAATTTCATGTGTTACATGTAAACATTTGCCAAAAGAATAAACAAATATTTTTCACATTTTTTAAACGTACTATTTGAACTTTATTAAAAACCTCTATAGCACTCCAACCATTAAAGTTAAAGGTCTTTTTTAATTAGCTGGCCTTAAAAGTTGATCTTAGACATCTTAGACAAAAATAACTCAATCGGGATATATGGGTCGATAAATACGCACCATTTGAAAAGCCATTTAAGAATGATTGCTAGTGGGGGAAAATAACACAATCGGGATATAGGGTTTGTAAATACGCACTATTGTGCAGTAAAAATATTATGTATAATCAACCATTAAGACAGGACTACTTTGAAGAATAAAATTGTAATGTTACTTGGGGACCTGCAGCGCTGCCAAGTTTAGTAAAAGTTACTCCCGCCGTTCACCAGCACTTGAACGATTTTAACTAAACTAAATGTTCGCTATAAAAGTCGACCCACTCAACTTAGACTCATAAAAACAAACTAAAAATTCAAGAGGTTCTCCCGAGTTTCCCAATCAAAATTTGAGGCAAATCGGTCCATAGGTTACTCAGTTATGATCGGACAAACAAACAGACAGACAGACAAATAGAGAATACAACTTAGTATTTTTAGATAAATTGTAAAATTTAAGGTATAACTATGAATATATTTGTATTTAGATATATATATAAATTAAACTCAAATGATCAAACGCTTTGCATAAGTCTAGAAGGCAAAAAATTAACTATTAAACGTTCGCACAGCCAACCAATCTCATAGGGCGTATTTAGGGGGATATAGGGGTACATTGAGCCTTCATCACTAGCTAAATAAATTTATGTACGTCCCAGTCTCCCAGACAAATCACTATATAAAATGAACGCCAAGCATTCAAAAGCCGGAACCCTGGGAACTGTTATCACTCTATCCCCGTAGTAAATTTGAATTCGAACAGGACCTCCCCAGTTTGTAACGGCCTGCCAGATAACAGCGTGTACTGACCCGATCCTATGGTACAGTACGTCGCCCTATCCAGACTAACATACGACAGGGGTCAATTTTCTTGGCATAGTCCCGTGAGAGGGCTAACTATGACAACTCCCATGGCGCGTTCAGACTTTTTACAGTACCCGGCCTAATCCTAGGCCTATTTGACCGACCCCACTGGCATAGTCCACCGTGTTATAGTAATTACTCTCAATGAGGAAAATTTAGGATAAACAATGAAACTCCTGTATTTATTTGTCCTTTGCAGATAAAAAACTATAATTTTGTGTTTTATAAGTAATTGCAAGTTTAATTGCTCCAAACAGTTTTATTTTTTTGTACTTAATGGGCGTAAAATTAAACTACATAAAGTAGCAAGTCACAAAATTCATACCAATAATTTCGCATTTTCACCTTTTTATGTTTGAATTGCAGTGACATGTTAAAATTTAATTTGGATGAAAAAAGAACAAAATACTCACCTCAAACTTTAATCTGCAACCAAATGGTGTTAAAATTTGAAAAAAGACAATATTGTGTACAGCAAATTTAACGAAAAGCAGAATAGAAATGTTTAATCAACTCCCAAACTTTCCTAATCCGATTTTAAACTAAAAACAGAAGTTTAAATTAAAGTATAGGGTGCAAATATATGTAGATAGAGAGATATAGAGTTATGTAAATTTTAGCTTGGGAACCCAGATTTGCTTGGAAACTACAATTTTTCATTAAAAAATCAACAAACTCAAATTAGAATTTTTCATTTCATTCCATGTTTTTATTCAACTACAAAGCACGAGATAATACAAATAAAAAAAATCACAATTTACTATGTAGTTTGGACCCGCCTAACCAGAGTAGGTTGTTTTGATTGGTTGGCCCACTTATAAACGAATGAGAATTATAGATAAAAACAATGTAAATTGTACATTTTAAACATAAGAATGATGATAAATCAGGAAAAGGTAAGGAGGAGGTGAGGGAGTATAAGGGAAAGGGAGGATACTCAGCGTAAGGGTTGGAACAGAGGGTAACATAAGTTATTAGAATCATGTTTATGAATTACAGGATGAAGAAGATAGTAAAGTTTTTTTTTATTTACAGATATAATTTGAATAACTATTTAAATAGATAAATATGAAAACTGAGAAGCTGTTCTGATTATTGCTTTATAGTTAAATATATCTTGGCGACTTTTCTTTTAAACGATTTTGCAGATTTAGTTTCTTTCAGCTCTAATTCAATCGAATTCCATATTTTTGGAAATAAAGCAGAGGGAAAACATTCTAGAGTTTTAAACATTTAGAGTTTTTCAATCTAGACCCAGAACATTTTAGTTGATCTACCAAGTTCCTGAATCTAGACCCAGAACATTTTAGTTGATCTACCAAGTTCCTGAATCTAGACCCAGAACAGTTTAGTTGATCGTACCAAGTTCCTGAATCTAGACCCAGAACATTTTAGTTGATCTACCAAGTTCCTGAATCTAAATTTGGGGCAAAGGATCGGATATACAAGTTAACAACCAGACAAATAGATGTTACTGTTTTATATGTAGATTTTTGTATTATATATCATGGTTCATATGCGTCACTATAGTTTCAGTAGAGGTAAATATTTCCATTTAGAGTATAGCGCCGATATAAGGATCTCTAATTGGATAATGTGATAGATAGAAAGATAGATGTTACCCCCATGAAATTTCAATTAATTCAAAATAGACACCAAACACATGACTGAACCATGATTGGATCAGGCGCTAATGGACTCGGCATACAAAAGTGATATTAAGATTCCTGCCCGTGTTCTAGATTTAATTCTAGTCTTGAATTTGCATTGGGAATTTTAAAGACAAATGAAATTTCCTTTGGGTAAGACGAAGTATTCCTTGATATGTTAAAGTCAAAGTTTGAAAAATCAAAGCTTTTCACCATCAGTTTGCAAAGATTTAAAAACAAAATTAAACAAGAGCTCGCGTGGCAAGGCAACTATACTCAGTTCCTTCAGAGGTTAGAATTTTTTTATGTCTGATGTTTTCATGTATATTAGATACAAACAAGCAACCCCCCCCCCTCAAACAAAGTAAATATATAGTTTCAAATAATGTATATAGTGACAGATGATGTACAGAGAGTACAATATAAAAGTAAAAAGGAAAGTAAATGTCAAAGATTCCATTACTTAAAGGGACTGTAAAGGAAAAATGAAAGGGGGTATAGGCTGAAAGCTAATCACTTTAGCTCTTGATCGTGACCCATGAAAGTTTTATCTGATGTTCCTGTCTCGAGAAATTGATATAAAACTGTGTTAAAATTATCCGAAAGTTTATATATGTAAAATTTAGAAAATCTTAAACTTAAATCACGTGACCAGAACTATCACCAATGGCAGAGCAGTATACTGGTCACGTGTCTCCGCCTGTATCACGTGACCACTTTACTGCACTGCCATTGGTGGAATTTCTGGTCAAGCAATACGGACAGATACATAATATTATGAATTAAATTTATAAAAAATAGAAATAACAAATATAAAATTAGAATTGGAGTAAACCTAAGTTACAATTAGCTTTCTCTGGGATATCATCGTTTTCAGATTGGTTGCATATTTGCTGAATTTGATCTTTTTAAACCCACTACTTTTATACAAAATTGTATATATATTAATTTTCGTATAGATTTTACAAAGTTGTATATCAATTTCTCGAGATAAGAACATCAGATATAACTTTCATGGGTCGCGATCGAGAGCTAAAGTGATTAGCTTTCAGCCTATACCCCCTTTCATTTTTCCTTTACAGTCCCTTTAATGCCTGTCTACAAGTACACATAAACAAGGAATAAATCGAGTTTTTTTGGTTCGTGTTAATTAGTCAAACTAAAGTAAATAGCATGTAAATTTGAATTATTACAGGGTATTAATCATAACTCCCGTAATTCAAGAGCTATTGTGAGGAATAAAAATCTTTTACAATATGCAACCGAAAAAAAAGTTTTTCTTATACTTGATTGTAAAATCAAAACTAGAGGAGCAACAAGGTCAAAAAGTTCAATGATGTCGCATAAATTATACCTTCTTCTTCAGTCTAGTGTGAAGTGCCTTACAAAAGAATTTACTAAACCCTTACTTAGAAATTTTACACTGTAAAAACTTCTCACTAGTATCAAATACATACTAAAATTGTTCTTTATAATAGTGCACTCCTGGTTCAAATATGTTGCCTAGCCTTAAACTATTTAAAATGTGTAGCCCAACATAAACATGTATAAAATATGTAGCCCAACATAAACATGTATAAAATATGTAGCCCAACATAAACATGTATAAAATATGTAGCCCAACATAAACGTATGTATAAAATATGTAGCCCAACATAAACATGTATAAAATATGTAGCCCAACATAAGCATGTATAAAATATGTAGCCCATCATAGACATGTATAAAATAGCAAATACGGAAAACCTACATTTAAAGGATGAAAATTGGGTCTAAACTCTTTTAACCAAGATCTCTAGTTTTTTTCGGGATTTGAGACTTTTGTAGATATATAAACAAAACAACATCTAAGAGATCAGAGAAATATACTTCGGTTTCACCTTCTTTATCATCCATATACCAGTTATAAGTTAGAACATATTACATTTTAATATCCCATGAATATTTGGAGGATTATGCTTCCTGGCTATTTGGTGGAATACGCAGTATTACGCTTAATGACTATTTGGCGGATTATGCTTTCTGAATTTTTTGCGGATTAAAGCATTTGAATATTTTGTGGATTATACACCCTATATAAAACAGCTATTTGAAGGGTCAGCGTGTTGAGTTTACTTAACCAAGTTTTTTGCTGATTCATCAAAATGTTTTAAACCTCGCAGTTTAAGGTTCATCTCCTTCACAACAACTCTGCCTGGCCTTCTTAAACTCTCAAGTACGTAATTTAAAAAAAAATATATTTTTTATTAAAAAGCAAATTTTAGGAACTCATTAAACAAGTTTTCCATGTTTTTCTTTAATTTGACTCATTTATGTAAATTTTTTAACAAAAAATACAAAGAGAAAATGTTATCTATTTTCTCAATGAATCACTTTGTGTGTATTAAATTTCTTAATCCTAGTTATCATTTTACTAAAATTAAATCATTAAACATGGCTTCAATTGTAATTTTTATTTGCCGGTCATGAACTAATGAAGTAATCATATGTATTTTCTTCTTATTTCCAATTAACAACAAACACTAATGCTATTTATTGTAAAAAATATGTTTTAAGCATAACATTTTTGTGAGAAAAGATCAAAAATGTTTTAAAAAATAAAATTCCAAATTTTCACTTTTCCAAGGAGGCTCACACCNGGGGGGGGGGGAAGAGGGCAACTTTTTTATTTTCTTTAAAAATTCAACTTTTCCCTTTCGAGCCTTGAATACGCGAACTCAGCTAAATAAATCATATTTTCGTCTCAGCGTATTCGATCATTAAATCAGAGGAGAGATTGAGCTAAAATGTACACAAAAATTAGTTAAAGATTTTAGAAATAAAATCAGTTATTATGTCTTTTATAAAACAATTAAATTGAAAATTAGATTTTAAATTATTTAGAATTAAGAAATTAAAGAAGAGTAAAAGTCAAAATAAAAAATTATGTTTAAATTAAAATTTTTCTATATTACTACGATTTCTAATTTTTGAGTGCTCTAATTTTAATATATTATATTAAACATAATTCAGTTTTTATCTCGTGAATAAGTATAAATTAGTGGTATTAATTAAGTTACTAATGAAATAATCAATTAATTAAATTAATGAATTAATTAATGAACTGGGAAAAGTTCTGATTATCTATCCAACTGATTAATCTCTCCCTAGAACTTCACTGCAAAACATCCAAGGCCAAAATATTAAATACAAATATTTATATATTTGCAGGAATATATAAATACATGTTTATTCAAATATATGTTACGTGTAATTCAGATATACCTAGGGGCAAGGAGAGGGTTTTCTTTGGAAAGAATCGATCGATGGAGGGAGGTTCAGAAAAACTATCGGTTTTTTTAAACGAAAATAACGAACGATTTGAAATCGTTTAAACGAACATGAAAAATCTATCGTTTTTTGACTGAATTTTGAGAAAGATTTTGAAAAAACAATTGTTTCATTTACTGAATGATTTTCTCGAATAAACTTTTTTTTACTCCAGTTTTTTTTACTTACGGAACGATTTTTTTCTAACAAACTTTTTAAAAACCATCGTTTTTTTCTGAAAAAACTATTTTGTTGAACGAACGATTTTAATGAACAATCGTTCAGTGAGAAAGCAAACCAAAATAGATGGAAAAATTAACGTTAATTTTGGGATTTTTTTTTGAATGATTGAAAAAAAACGAAATGGGTGATTAACGAACATGAATGAATAAGAAAGTTTTGAGTTGAAAATAAGGTATTGCCATCTTTGCATAAAGGGTTACTTACAATTTGCTTACGTTCCCTTTAAGAATTTGAAGAACTCTTTGAAAGGATGTTTAGAAATTCAAAAAATAAATTAAACAGAAAAATAGAATTGATTAGATATCTGAAATAGTGAAACTTTCTGATTTAAAGTTAAGGGATATTTAGAAATTTTTAAAAGTTTAGCAAATCAAGAAATATTTAGGAATATGACCTCTGACGTCTAAAAATGATAAAATTTAAAAAAATATGAACATCCCACATCAGAATATTAACAGATTAGTTAAGGTATCATGCTACATTTTGTGAGATTTTTTTATTTCAGTTTTCAGAAAGTTGTTTTTTAACTTTTATCTTATTTCTAAAATATTTCTCGCAGATGTCTGATTTTATTTGAAAAGACAGAATATTATTTCTCTTGGATTCTTTTACCACAAGTTTTCCCAAGATTTTAAAATTTAATTTGTTCAGAATGGACGCCATTAAGAAGAAGATGACTAAACTCTCAGCAGAGACCACAACTGCAACAGCTAGAGCCAATCGATTTGAAGAGGAGTCCTTTAATATAGGTAGGAGTCCTTGTTACAGGTGGGAGTCCTTAAATATGGTATGCAGTCCTTAAATATAGGTAGGAGTCGTTAAATATAGGTAGACTCCTTAAATAAAGGTAGGAGTCCTTAAATATAGGTAGGAGTCCCAAATAAAGGTAGAAGTCCTAGATATAGGTAAAAGTCCTTAAATATAAGTAAAAGTCCTTTAATCTTACTCTATTTTTACCAACAGATAAAAAAAGAATAAGATTCTTTGATCTCATTCCCAAGACTCTTTATTTATCATTTATAATTAATTATCAAAATTACTTATATCCATGTTCTTGTACTATTCTTGTAATATTTGTACTATCTTGTACTATTTTTGTACTATTCTTGTACTATTATTGTACTATTCTTGCACTGTTCATGTATTATTCTTGTAATATTCTTGTACTAGTCTTGTAATATTCTTGTACTTTTCTTTTACTATTCTTGTACTATTCTTGTACTATTCTTGTACTATTCTTGTACTATTCTTGTACTATTCTTGTACTATTCTTGTAATATTTTTGTACTATTCTTGTCATATTCTTGTACTATTCTTGTACTATTCTTGTAATATTTTTGTACTATTCTTGTCATATTCTTGTACTATTCTTGTACTATTCTTGTACTATTCTTGTACTATTCTTGTAATATTCTTTTACTATTCTTGTACTATTCTTGTACTATCCTTGTACTATTCTTGTACTGTTCTTGTACTATTCTTGTACCATTTTTTTACTATTCTTGTAATATTCTTGTACTATTCTTGTACTATTATCGTATTATTCTTGTACTATTCTATACTATTCTTTTACTATTCTTGTACTATTCTTGTACTATTCTTTTACTATTCATTTACTATTCTAGTACTATTCTTGTAATATCCTTGTACTATTCTTGTACTATTCTTGTACTATTCTTGTAATATTCTTGTACTATTCTTGCACTATTTTTTTATCATTATTGTACTATTTATGTGCTATCCTTGTAATAAAAAAATGCTACATAAATTTTGAAAATGAATTCTGAAATGTTTTCGAAACCATTTTTTAAAAATATTAAAAATTTAAACAGTTATTTACAAATAACAGTACTTGTACTTCTTCAAGCGGTAAGATTGTCTTATGGTATTCCAAGTTCCTATAATTAGGTAAAAAGTAGAAAAATTTAAATTTCTGAAAAGAATGTTTAAGTTGTAAACTTCGTGCCTAAAATATTTCACCTGAATTCTTGGAATTGTTAATTTTCCAAATGACAAGATGATGTCAAGCAAAATATTAGTTTTCGTGGAAAATGCTTTTACCTCAAAATTCAAAAGGGAGTGACCGGCTAGGTTAGGTAGTTGAACTGAGTATGCAGTGTTGTGAAAACTTTTTTCCGGATTCGTTTGAGACATATTAAACTTTTTAAAGATCTATAAATCCTGAGTTTGAGCGCAAATTCGACGTTCAAAACTCCTACTTAGGGGGTGGATACGTTTTCAGAAGTTTTCCACAACACTGCATACTCAGTTAAACTACCTAACATAGCCGGTCACTCCCTTTAATGTAGCCATTGATGTTTGATTTTTATAAACTTTGTTCAAGATTAATTTTAAAGAAAAAATTGGCAAACCTGATAAATTTTCATGTGATTGCCTTTGTTGAGAGTTAAACTTGTTAAAAATTGTCCCTTTAAAGGGGCTGTAAGTGTAGTTTCAAGTGACCCTTCATGCATGCAAAGATGGCTAGGCCTGATTCTCAAAGATATTCTTAAAACCTTTATCAAACCAATAATATGGTTGGTTAAAAGTGTTGATTTCTGATAATTTTATGTTTTCCTGCAGTAGAAATGCGCAAGTTACTTTTGCAGAGAAAGAAACCATGCAATCGAAAATATTTAGTTTTCAAAAAATTCTAATTCCAACTTATCACTTAACCCGACAAACGGTACTGTTGTGAATCGGACCTCAGCACCTCTGCATGGAGGGTCAATTGAAATTTCGCTTACAGTCCCTTTAAGTTTCTATTTCTGTTTCTGGTTTATAATGGAATCTGAACATCAATGCAGGATGAGAATCTATCTCATTCAACTTTTAATTAAAGATAAACATGTACAAATATTATGTACAGGGTTACCCACAAAGGATGAGACTGTAGAGACGACCGGGAACTATTGAAACTCTTGAAATATTACAATCTCCGGGTTGATTTATGTCATCTGCCTTAAATATAGTAATCTAATGGTTTATTCAATGGTTTGACAAAGAAATAAATAAGTTTAGAGTTGCATGGAATCCTGAATGTTAGGAAACAGACAGAGTTCTTTCGGAGAATTGTGTCTAAAGTATCATCCTTTGTGGTATTTAAACCCAGTATTTAAACAAAATTTGAAAATTAGTAAAATATCTCCATTTTCGTTAATCCTCCTAGGATCAAAGCTCTCTGTAGTCCCTCTAACATCGATCTTGATATCCACAATTCAGAAACATCTTTGAGTGGTTTAGTTGTGATCAATCTTAAATTCTAAAATTAATATATTATATTGCCTTTTCAAATAGATCAACAATCACTTAAATTAATGAAAAAAAATTATTGTCGAAAATATTTCATCTATATATAAATTTGGCTTGTCTGTTTGTCTGTTTGTATCCAATAAACGTCAAAACGGCTGAACCGATCGGGCCCAAATTTTTGTGGGATATCACGTGACCACATGGAACGTTTATGAATGATAAAAAAAATGTGTTTTAAAGGTTTTTAATTTTGTAAAAAAAAATTAAATTCTTGAAAATCCGCGAATTTTTTTTTTAAATCCGCTAAATTTTTTTCTTCTTTGTTTTAAAATGTAAACAAAAAGAACATGTTCACAATTTAAATAGAAGATGGGCGCGAAGCGCCCTAAAGGCCTAGTGTTCTATAATTTTCTAAGATATTTTCTAATAATTAGGTATATTAAGAAAAACCGTAAATTGAATAGTTTACTAGTAAAATAAATCCGCTTTTCATGATTATCTGATTATTAAAATAATTAGGGAAAAATATTTTAAAAATATTTTTTTGTCAAATCAGTTAAAATATGTGTCCTTGATATTCTTAAAAAATGAAAACAAGCTTTAAATTGGCTTGAAGTAATTTCATTTACACCCTCCATTTACATAGTATAGCATGTCAGATACACATCGGTATTCGGTTCCCTTTATACTTTACCCATAATTGAACTAAATCACTTTTTTTGACACAAATGTGGTTGAAAGGTTTTTGGGATATTATTGCATTTTGACAGAAAATAATAAGGATTTTTATGAAACAATTTTGTACTTCATCCTTCACAGTTCACACTCACTTCATGGTGAATTAAATTATTGACATCCTATAAAGTAATCATCGTGCTAGCTATAAAGTTAAATTAGCTGTTAATTATAGCAACGTGCCATAAAGTAATCATCGTGCTAGCTATAAAGTTAAATATGATATAATAATAATAAAGCTGGTGATATAATAATAATAAAGCTGGTGATATAATAATAATAAAGCTGGTGATATAATAATAATAAAGCTGGTGAGATAATAATAAAACTTTAAGAAAAACACTTTAAATAGACTTCCTGCAGACTTCAGATACAATCAATATAATTCTAATATGAATCCGTCAAAACGTTACTTATTATATAAGTATTGAAGACCTAAAAATTGCAAGATCCGAGACGGTACAAAATGTTTACTACCCTTTTTATATTTTACCTGCTAGGGAACCAAGCTTTGCCTGGAATTTTCGCAATAAAATAACCCATTCAATTAAGCATTGTTAACTCAACCTAAGAACATTCCCATTGACCTTCTTAATTTCCTAATAAAAAAATTTATTCAAATCTCTCATGATATATTATCGGCAAAGATAATAGAATATATATTAGAGTGGAATTTAGACAATTCTTCGGTATGAATTTTTTCAGTCCCTTCCAGCCTGAAAGGGAGTTCAAAGTGTACAAATCATGTAAATGTTCACAAATTATATGCAGTAGAGTACATTAATACAGTATGTTCCCTAGACTATCCATTTCAATTTTGAATTTTTTAAGCCTTTAAATAAACTCTATAAAATGAGTTAGGTGAATAAAAAACATCACTTGATTTATAGTTATAAGTGAAAATCATCGTATGTAAAGTGAAATCGTATGTATGTGAAATGATCATTGGTCAATTATGAAACCAGCCTATTTCATAATTTGGTTTGCTTTCAATATTAATTTAAGATTTTCAATAAAATGATGTTCCAGGGCCCAAAAGGTTATATAGTGCAAATCTGTGAAGTACACCTGCGATATGGAAACAGTTCAACAAAATAGCCGTTTTCCACTTTTTTTTAGTAAATTCCACTCTAATATATATTCTATTCTCTTTGATTATTGGACATTCAAACAAACAAACAGAAAAACAGAGATTACTACTTTATATGTACAGAAAATCTTAGTTCTGCTTGACCAAATAGGCAAAGTTTGACTAAGATTTGTTTCAATCCATAAAAAGACTTTTTTGGGATAATTCGTCAGTTCTTTAATTGAAGAGTCAGCTAGAAGCACCTCCTCCTGTCATTGCTTCTTGCCTCACAAAATCAGGCATGCATGAAATCTAAGCTCTGATTGTGTGTACTTTATATGTACTTTAAAATGTTCTGTTTTAGCTCAAGTTGACATTAACGTGTTTTAGTGCCTAAAAGTACAGAGGGAAAAACAGATATCACCATGCTATAGTAACCCTTCATTTTATCCATCTTACCGAAATCATTTTCTTTGAACATGTTTTTCGTAATTACGAACACGTTTTTCGTAATTACGAACACGTTTTTCGTAATTACTAACTTAATGTTAGAGATTCAAAGTCCTGGAACTAGAAAGCTTAAGGATTAGGAGAGAGAAACCTAGTGTTTATCCTTTGCTAAAAAATGTCTGAAATCTCAAAGGCACTTTGCTCTATTCCCTGTAGAACGTTAAACTATTTACTATCAACTAT